TGATCAATGCCTACATTCGGACCTCTGACCATTCGTCCTTTTGAGCATTCGCACCTCTGGTGTGTTGCACCAACTCGAACTCGCACTTTACAAAAATACAACACCGGTCTTTGCACAAATACTAATTACGTCACCCTTTTGCCTTTTTCAAATCACACACAACGTTTATCACCGTATTACCGAGGTTTTCGTTTGATTTTCTTAAAGAGTGTGAACCATCACATTGATGCGAAGTGACAGAAGTGTCAAATTGATTGAAATTCAAGGCACTCTTGGTGCATTTTTTTTGTTTAATTTTCATTTTTATGGATTTTTAGCCGAAATAATATGAATTAACGAAAATCACCCGTCCGTTGCAGTAAAGGATGAATTGAATTTTCATTTTTCATCATCATTTATTGTCTAAAGTTTGATATATTTCGCTATAGTGTCTAATAAAAATTGCACCGTTCCCCTTTCCCCGCATTGTATGAGAGAGATGGTTAATTGAACGTTTTACATGGGTGTGATGCGATGGAGCTATCACGCTTTAGTAAGATATAACAAAGATATAAACATATCCCGGACTTGATTTGTCGCGTCTTTCATACAAAACTACTTTCATTGATAGATGAAATAGCCAATCAGCAGATATTTGGTGTCGTTTTAAACTATATGTACGTTATCGAATTTCAAATCACATTCAGTCCAGAGAACAAACTAAATGCAGAAGAATTAATTGACTGTGTTGTTTCTGCTCGAATACCTGACAAATTAAGTGAACCTAGAATGTTTATGTATAAACACATTTCATCCATCGGCCATGTAGTCCATTTGTAATTTGTATATGCATGAAAAATGGAGTGTGCAGTAAAATGTATCCAAAAGAAATTCCTGATAATACCATTTTGGTTAAAAATAATGCCGTGAAACAACCTGATTACAAACGTCCCAAAGATGATATAACTATAGATTATGAAGAAACAATTATACATAATCGACGTGTCGTTCCGCTACGATAGCCAGCCATATTACGTATCTTGCGAGATACACAAACACAAGAAATTTAACATCTAGAGTTTGTCGCTGCAAGATATCCAGATAACTTATTGTTTATTTTTATTACTTACTATTAATTGTGTGCATTATTGGAGCAGTTGATGGTACGCATATTGAATGCAAAGTACCAACTACTAAACATACCAGTTACCAAGATCGAAAATTCAACCATAGCATCACTGTGCTAGCTGT